TTTCGATACACTGCATAATCTCTCTCATCCAAGTATTCGAGCCAGTTCGGCTTTAGTCAGTCAACGTTTCGTCTGGCAATCCATGCACAAAGATGTGCGTAGTTGGGCCCGTTGCTGTTTGGCGTGTCAGAAATTTAAGGTGACAAGACACACTAGTAGCCCTCTTGGTACTTTTGATACTTCCGATTCTAAGTTCTGGTCACACGCACTCAGATTTAGTGGGACCGTTACCGCCATCGCAAAGTTCTACCTACCTTCTGACCTGCGTAAATCGTTTTACGCGTTGGCCAGAAGCATTTCCGATCACCGACATCTCGACTGAAACCGTAACTAAGGCTTCCGTTGATCGTTGGGTAGCGAATTTCGGGTGCCCTACTACGTTGACTTCAGACCGCGGCTCTCAATTTGAGTCCGCATTATCCAACACGTTAACAGCCGTGCTAGGGTGCCAACGTATACGCACCACAGCGTATCACCCTGCCGCTAACGGCCTCGTCGAGCGTTTTCATCGACAGCTGAAAGCTGCATTTAGTGCACATTCCGTCATTTCATGAACGGAGGCATTCCCACGCGTCCTACTTGGTATAAGAAATGCCATCATTGACAACCTTAAGTGCACGCCGGCCGAACTAGTTTATGGAACTACACTCCGTCTTCCCGGAGAGTATATTTCCCCACACAAAACTTCACTGCAAGTATCGCCGGATTGCGTCCAACGGCTAACTCATCACCCGCGTGAGTTAACCCCAGCGGTCTCGCGCCCACAAAAAAGCAGTCTTCATACATCCAGATTTGAAGACTTGCACACACGTTTGGGTTGGTTGCGACACAGTACGCAGACCCCTACAGGTTCCATATAATGGCCCTTATTGCGTACTTCGGCGTAGTGGAAAACAGGTAGTCATCGATAGGAACGGTCACCGCGATACTATCTCCATCGACCGCACAAAGCCAGCTTACGTCGACGCAATATCCGTCAGGAAACCCCTCCCAACCCCAGAGCCACGGACACTACCGCACCGATAGCCCCCACCCCATTGTCGACCACACCAGGTTCGACCATTCCTACTACCCCGGCCACATTACCCTCCACTTCATGAACGCCTCCACTGCGTTCTGCTTTAGCTGGTTCAAACACTAAAACCACTCCTATCGGACGTTCGGTATTAGAACTCGTTTTGAGGAATGTTTTTATCACTAACACATTTTTTGAACAAAAAGTAACGAAAAAAGGTGTTAGTACATTGTTAAGGTATATACCTTTCTATTTTTGTAAAAACAAAACAAAACGTTTTATTTCGCCAGTCGAAGGCGTACTTGTTTATTGTTTCATTTGATATGCGTTACTAGAACCGTACTCAGTATCTTTTGTTTTGCTTACACCGTAGAACTGAAGAACGTTTTTATTCGCGTCATGAACAGTATAAGGATTGCAAGACATTTTTTTCGTATCTGTCGATCGGCAATCTTTTGCCGCTTTGTACATCTTGCACTTTGCATTCTACAGGGCTTACTTTTAATATTAAAACCAATAGCCTAGATGGCTTAGGGCGAGGTAGACTTTGCTCATTATCTCAGAGTTATCGTCCACCCGTGCGGCACTGTTATTTTGAAGTAGTGGAATCTTTCCACCTTAATAAACTGACCCGAGATCAAACACCTTCCCTCTGCTGCACGTTGGCACAACATTCACAGCGACATACATTTGTACTCGTAATACATATCATCATTACTTGCTGT